ATTGTATTAATTATTAATTGGAATAATGTTTTGTCGTGTTTAAGATTGCTATAAAGATAAAATTATACATTGTAACTTGAAAATAATATTTATATATCACAAGCTCGTAATTTTCTGTGAAGGAAAATCGCCGATTTTGATAACTTGAATAAATTATATATTTCAAGGTAACAAATTTATAATTTCCGTTGCACCCATCATTTTTAATTGAATAATATATCATTTAAATACCAAAAAAATATTACACTCACTTTTTTATTTAAGTTTGAAAATAATTTTAATTCTCGATTGTAATTCAACAATTAATTCAAAATATTGGAATTTGATTTTTCAATTAATCAAATAATAAGCGGGCATGAACTTCGATTAATTTAATTAATTTCGAATGACTTTGGGATGATTTCAAAACGTCATTGTCGTTTCAGAAATGATTTCAGAGAGTTGACATCACGTGATGGCAGTGATTTCGATGATTTCAATGATTTCACATGATTTCATCACAGAGTGGCGCCATGATTTCAGCCTCGACTTCAATTATTCAGTACGATATCATTCGCTCATGGTTCGACTTTGTTTTATCTCACAATTTTTTCTGCATTCCTCATTTATACTATTTACATCACGTAAAAATTCTCTCATTTTTAATTTCTATGAAATTGTTCACGTTTAACACGAATTGCATTTTCTTAAATAACATTCTGAAATTATCCTGAGTATAGAATTAACATGTTAATATACACAAAAATGTCGCCCTCTTTTTTTCTTCTCGTTATTTTTTTCGCATCATTTTTTCCGTCAATTGTCCCAAAGAAAAGTGAAAACCGATCCACATCATTTAAAATATGACGAGCGGGTCGCGTGGCTGTCCTAGTAGCAAAAAATCAAGGTTAATCTCACGATAATCCCCAGTCTCGGGGGGTCTCAGAGGGTCATAAAACTTGTCGAGAGAACGGCGCGGGAACAGCGCAAGTACCATCCTCAAGGACTCGGAAAATCTGTGAAAGCAGGGGGATTTCGTTGAGAGGCGCGTGGATTCCTCCCACCCCTATATTTCTTCCTCGTTTTCTTTGACGACCAAAGGTACCCCGGGATGCTAATAAACATGTTTCTAGCATCGCCGTCTCTTTTCAGTGCCACGAGAGTTGACCTTTTTCAACCGAACGGTGAAAATGTTACGGCCGATGTAAATGCTTGAGAAAAAATTTCGTGGTCATGGCTTGTAATATGAAAAAGTGAAAAGTTTTGAAAACTTTTTCCTCCATTCGTTCGTGCCCCCTATTCTTCTATAAATGGGCGGATCAATGTTTGTGATTTCAGTGTTGACCATAAAAAATGATATTGAATAGGATAGCAAGAACGGGGCGGCGGAGTAGGAGAATAATGCGCATTCACAAAAGATTGCTAATAATCGTATTGAGGGGGAATTTTCTCGTCATCAAACTTCCGGCGTTTTTTACTTGCGTTTTTCTCACGGGTGGAATATTTATTTTTCATCGGAATGGATTATCGACATCCGCAATCTCCGGAGAGTGGAAAGAATAAAATTATTTCCTGCTGAATTTTTTTCTATCATCTCCATCATTTCACGAGTTTTCTCAGGATAATGGGCATTTCCATCGTTCAATTGCATTTTAGGATTTTTAACATTTTATTACATTTATCACTGCACTGATAGAAAAAATTAGTTATTGTTAACGAATGGATTTGGCTGGAGACGGGGGTCTATTCGGTCTCACCAAATGTTCATTCGTTAATAGTTAACGAATCTCGTTTGAAATAAATGAGTCAGTCTATCAGTGTGGTAATCTATTAGGCTCTTAATTTGCTGTGTAACGCTTATTTGATATTTGTAAACATCTGTCCCCCTTGCTATGAGGGTTCTCAAGAGCAATAAACTAAATAATAATAAATAATAATAAATAACTATTATTTTTCTGACAATTCCCCTGTAGTTGAAGTTATCATTGAAATTTCTCTCAGTGCAAGACAAGAATGACATATTTCATGTCTTGTTTTGTCCTGCGGCTTATTTTTCTCTGCATTCATCGTGCACTTAAAAATCCTCAAATTTCACGAATAAAAATCTACACGTGACCCTCCAATAGGCCATTAAACCAATCAAGACTCTGCTTACCATAGCCATAACCACGACCGCATTGTCCCGAATGTTGAAACTGCAAAATTGGAATAACACAAAACGCAATAAACTTCATGGTCCGCCCCCAAACTTATAGAATAGCTGCCCTCGGTCATGGGAAGGGTGGAGAATGCACTAGGTGGTATGGGAAAAGGTGAGTACAATGGAAATTGAGGTGGAAATAGTCGTAGCCGATTGACCCAGAAAGTCAAAGGGTTTTCGCCACAGTCATTTTATTGACTCAACTTTTGGATTGAAAATGCCCCACCCCCCTCTGTGTTTCACGTTATGGGTCACTCTCGTCCTTGGCCTCGCAGGACAATGAACGAGTCGAAATTTCATTGTCTCCACCTCCCACTTGCCGTGCAGATACTAAAAGGGAAAATGTGACGCGATTTATTTTACGCGAAAATCGGTGAAACTTCAGACATTAAATTCTCACAAAATCGGCCATAAATTATCCGTGTCCTTCATTACTTTTGTTTTGTGGAATATCATGTTCCGTCTCTGTCGTCGGAGGTGCGTCCGCAGTAGGCGGAGAAGGGGACACATTGGGTGACCCCTGGTGCAAAAATCCGGCTTCAAGAGTCGATGACCTGTCCAAATATTGTCCGGGATTATCCAAAGTGGCCGTTTAGTCTTATCCCCTTAACCCATTCGCAGTTGCCATTGGCGTGTTAATTGTTTCTCAAAAATATGAATTTTTCCACTGTCCTGGTGAATGATTATTTTCGTTGGGGTTAACCGCGTTAGGATGGGGCGGGTTTGTTTGGGATTTTGGCTTTTAATCCCGGGATTTACATTAGGATTGTGCCCAGAGGATTATTAGCGATGGAAAATGAGAGCAACTTTTGCTTGGGGGACATTATTGGTTGTTGCGCAATTTTTCATCATTTTAATAGGTTTTTTTTAAAGCTTATTTTTAGTTTTTTTAAGAGAAAAATAAAATTGGAATTTTATACTTGAGGAAATAGACATTCTCATTCACACTTTGAAAGAAATATCGCGTGAGAGGTTGAGTCGACACTTCAAAAAAACTTTGAACTCGTTATTTATTTAACAGAATGAGATTAACTAAAGTAACTTTTGCATGAGGGAAATTATTGGTTGTTGCGTAACTTTTGATTATTTAAATCTGTTTTTTTTAAATACATTTTTATTTTTTTAAAGAGAAAAATAAAATTGGAATTTTATACTCGAGCAAATAGACATTTTTATTCCCAAATTGGAAAAATATTGCCTGAGAAGTTGAGTCAACACTTCAAAAAGATTTAAATACTTTTTATGTTTTGTTCATCATAAATTATAATTCAATTTATAATGATCCCAAATTAAACCTGTTCAATCCATTTTTTTTCCCAAGAACATTCGCAATTATTCAATCATCATCACTCTCCTAAAAAAAAACTTCAGCAAATTATGCACCCAGAAAAATGATTTATTTGATTCAAATAAACTTGATTTAAATGCCCGTAATAAATTATTTTATTTCAGTGGTACGAAATAATTTTTTTTTCAAATTGAATAAAAAATTTTATTCCAAATTTTGTTGATATTGAATAAATATTTCTTTTACTATTAATAAATCTTCATTTAATCCAAACAAATTCTTTACGAATACCAAATAATTTTTCTTTGAACTAAACAAATATTTATTTAATACTAAAAATTTATTATCGCTTTAAGTCGGTAATAAAATCGAAAAAGATTGCTCCACGACTATTCTTGAAACACACTTTCGAAATTCTTCCATAAACTACGTGAAACCGTGATTTCCTCAACATAAAAAAACAGTTCATTTTCCCTGAATAAATTATTTCGTCAAACCTAATAAAAATTCTGTTCGTCATAAATAAATAGTTCATTTAATACAATTAAATCCCTCTCGGACCAACCAAACAAGTTCATTCACTCCTAATAAAACTGCTCTTCAAATAATAAAAAAATTCCACCTAAAAATTTTACGCGATTAAAAAAAAATCTCTGTAGAGGAGGATGGGTTAAAATGGACACTTTTGACTTTTTAAAAAATATTCATAACTCAGAAACAGATTTATCGATTGCGCTCAGTCTAAGCTCATTACAAAGAGGAATCATTATTCTTTCTACTGAAAATAGTATATTTCGTAACGAGTGCAAAAAAGTGTTTTCTCAACATTTTTTCACGAGTTACGAACAATATTTTTCATCACAATGTGGCGGAAATTGCCTAAAAGTCCACTTTTCGTCACAGCGTGATGAAAATAAAATTGTCCCATTTCATGACCAATTCAACAAGTCATGAACATTAAAAAAAAAATCAAAAGTATCCATTTTACCCGACCCTCCCCTATATGTGCGCACAGTCCCAGCAATCGCTAAAAAGCATTCAATTAATCAGAAATAGGATTGAGTCTCGTGAGGAGGCCGGTGGAGCCCACGTGCGCGCGTGGGCAGGTAAACGCTACCGTCTCCCCGAAGAGTAGCCGAAGCAGTGGGAGTAGAGTGAAATCGCCCAAGTTTCATCAAGTCCTGCGAGCAGAGGTAGGAAGACGTACGAAACCCGCAAGGCGAAGCGAGAGAGCCTCACCGCTCGCGAGCAGTGAGAGTGAGAGGCTGTAGCGCGAGCAGTGAGAGTGTGTTTTCCCCCCGACCGTATAGGTAGAACTTGTCAAGGCCTTAGGTACCGCCAGCAACCCTCAAGCCTTGGTTAGGGGCCGAAGGCGGCGAGCCACTGAGGCCACAAACACGACCACCGTCCTCATTGGTCGACGCGTCACCACTGGGTGGGGCTCTGGGAAAAAGTTGGTGGGGGAAAAAATCCCCCCTAAATAGCTGCGGCAACGTAAGCGAAAAACTAGAATCCGCTCAGCCGGCATCGAGTGCGCGTCGTATTTTCCCCATTTAACTCCGAGCACTGTTGCAAACATCAACTGTAACAGTGCAGCCCCGACTCCACTCGATTCAAAACACCGTCACTATATCTATACATAATATTAGCCAGCATATATATATCAGTGTTTGTTCCTCGTCCTTCATTCGTTGTTTAGTGTGAATGAAGTGTTAAGTGAAGTGTGCAAAAAGTGATTGACAAGTTATCGCAATTGATCCTAGAATCCTAGGATCAATTGATCTACTGTGCACCCACGCAAGGATTTATAATAATCGCGATAGCCAATCAACGGGGGACTATTTAAAAATGCACCTACCCGAGGGACCAAATGGAATGGAGATCTTCAGCCATGTACACGATACACTCAGAGCATGTCACGGAGATCTTGTGCAAACCGGTAGTCCTGCTATTTTGTGCAGCGCACTGCCAACGCACTGGAGATCCAACAAATCATTACCAGTTGCATTCAAAGTTGTTGCACTTGACGACGTCAGTGACGGTACACTCGTCACCATTCGCGCTGGCAATGACGAGAATTGCTGCGGTGAACTGAGAAATTGCACCGCAGTCATGAAGAATCAAGTCGCCAAATTCAATGACTTGAGATTCGTCGGACGCAGTGGCAGAGGTAAACATTGACTATTACTACTGAAAATATTTTTAGTCCCTCACCTGTGATAAGTAATGTGATGTAATTTCTGGTGATTGTTTCTTCGCAGGCAAGTCATTCTCACTGACGATCCAAATCAGCTCAATTCCTTTCCAAGTCGCCACCTACACGAAAGCCATCAAAGTCACTGTAGACGGCCCCAGGGAGCCCCGATCCAAGTCGAGTAAGTACACCATCACTGTGGTCTTCCCTTTTCCTCACTGAACATCATATTTTTTCGTTGTATATATTTGCACCGTCACGTCATGATGAGACGGTTTTTATAATCACGATACGATTGAATTGTTATGTACAACCAAAATCCCTAAACAAACGCTCACTTCAACATATTTCATTCACAACGAAATCATCACATACAAATTATTTCGTGCACTAGTAACCAACTGTCGATATTTCGGCGACCAGCGCTGCGAGCTCTCAAAATTGTTTTTTTTTTACTGGAGAATTTTTCTAGAAAAATCTAAACTGTTCTAAAAAATCCGGAATTTACTGGGAAAATCTAGACTGCTCTAGAATTCGGATAGATGTCGCCACTGCGGATAAGGGACCATAAGGACTTTTTCCCCAAATGTCCCCCCGCAATGAAAACACAGACGTATCCACATAAAAAAAAGAAATCGGAAAGCTCTTTATGCTCATTATGACAATAAATGCGAGCTACTTGTTCAGAGATGTGTGCACCACATAGTGAATCCGCAAAACGGGTGTCGGAGGTTGTGACCCTCTCGCGGCGTTTAATAATCCCGGCGTATATCTGGCGGACCTCAAACCGCCAGTCGGCCGCTCAGTGGTCACACACAGAGAACCGGAGAGGGTGTCCATCGGGGTTTTCGGTGATGCTAGAGGGAGAGAGAGATGGCCAGTTGCCCTCCCCATTCACCTTGTGCTTCCGTTGCTCATGGAAACACAAACTAACACAAATTTTCCAAAACTGTATTCTCCCGATAAACGTAAATAGACAGTGGGAAGGGGTTTCATTTGCTGGCAGTGTTTCAAAAGTCGGTGTTCTTTTGATGATCGGCATAACGTTCACAATTAGCCGTCAAAGCCACCGGGCATTTTCCCCATCGTACAAGTCGGGGGGAAAAAAAACTACTGAAAAACACCAGGGGGAAAATAGTCTTACGATGTGCTGCAAAGAGATGCCGCCAAGCATTTGTGGGGTTTGTTTATAACACGGCATATGGCGGTAGCATATGTGCGCCACAAAACGGCAACTCTATAATAACCAGATCTCCCAGTTAGAGCTGAAGTCGTAGCGAGATCGTTAAAGATGCCCCAGGTTTTTTATGATTCATAAGAATTCTTTCTATCTCACTTTTTCATCTCTCAGTACTAAAATTATCCAGCTGCGGTCGTTAAATTCACGCCGAAATTGTCCGATTAATGCCCGATAAAAGTCTATTCCCAAGCTTTTTCGTAACAGAGCGTGTAAAATTGTGCCTAAAATATCTGACAACAGCCTTAATTTTTCCAGACTACCAGTACGGGCCGGGATTCCCCGGACTCGGTCTTCTCAATCCCTGGCTGGACGCGGCCTATCTCGGTCACGCGTGGCACCTGCATCATCCTGCTCTAATGAAAGGTAAGAATCGATCATCCCTTCGCAATCCATCCATCGTTTTGATGTACAAAAATCCCGAGGGGGATGAAAGGAAAGGGGAAAAAAACGCCAGGAGGGTTGGTATCGATTCGTTAGGTTCCGTGTGATGATTCATACTGGACCGAAGGGTGGAGGCCTCCTTTCATTCCCTTTCCCACAAGCTTTCCTCCCCACGGCTCTGAAATAACAATACAACAGACCTCATCTCCCTTTCGCTTCTGCACAAAGGCCTGTCGCTAATATACGGATATATATTTTTTTTTCCGCTTGAATAGGAACTGTACCAATGCCACCAGCGGATCTGTTCACACCAAGTTTTCCACCGACAGTACTGCCGTCCACCTATCCGTTCCACGAGCACGTCAAGTATCCAACGGAGTATCCTGGCATGCCGACCAACAAGACACCGGCATTACCAAACAGCCCATCGAGAACACCAACGAGAAGTCCAAGTGATAGTGGCAGTGAATCAGCGGCTGATGAAGTTCGCAGTGCCTTTGTGCCAATCAGAATAAATTCATTGCCACCTGCGTCGATAGCTGTTACCCCCTCGTCATCGTCACCAGGCAGGCCTGTGGCATCGAGAAAGCCGACGGAAGGTGTCAAGTGTGAGCTCAAAGCACCGACGACACTCATATCCAAGAGAAGTCCATCGCCGACTAAACTCCTGTCACCACCAGCTGCCAAGCCCGTTTGGAGGCCTTACTAATTTACCATTCTCCTTCGTTTCTAACTTTTCTCGTGATTTAATCTCAACACCGCTGGAAGGCTAGTGATGTCGACGAAGACGCCAGGCGTCTACGTGTGACTATTATTTTATACGTCAAAATTTCTTTGTTTCTTTCACTGGGTCGCGGTGGGGACTACGCTCTGGTCGCGAGGAACCCGCCATTAGCCCGGTGAATCGCAATTTTTCTTTTCCAATGCATTCGATTTTACTGTACATAATCTCCGAGCGAACGAATGGAAATGTGACTGATATATCATTATTGTACATACGAGAATTGTAGATAGAAAATGGACAATAATTTTTAGCATGCGTGACTGAATGAATCTTTTGTTCTTCTTTTGTGATTGTGTATAGGGGAGAGGGCAACAGACTGTGGGAGGAGAGGCCGTAACAATGTGGTGTAAATATGATCCTCGTACGTGTGATTGTGTTTCATGGGAGATGATAAAAAGAAAGTTATTTATAAATATTAATCATTAAGTCAGAGAGAAAATTTAATTTAATGTAAAGAGAGTAATATAGAGGATGCAGGTGGAATAAAAGAGAAACTTTTACCTGATATATTTTTTTGTCATTGAAACGTTAATCCTCGTGGAAATAATGGACTTGAGTTTAGTATGCGAGGGGTGTAGCAAGCCGGAGAGAAAAATTCAATAGAAATTACAAAAAAAACGCGGAAATTACGTTTCGAAACGCAATCCGCGAGCGAAGTAAAATTCAATAAAAAGTGTGAGTCGGAACCGAAATTGTACGAATCGCCACGTAAATTCTATGATTTGTTCCGTGGGGAGAACAAGTGGTTCCGTAATTTTTCCCCAACGATTGAGAAATTTTACGGAACGGAACGTAGAAATAACTCACCAGCTGCATAAAAATTCTTGAACCTTCCAGAATTTTTGATTTTCGAGGCGCAATAAGTCGGCAAGTTTCTGTAAGATTTTACTTCTTCGGGAAGAATTACGTGACAATTTCGTACTTTGTTCGGTGATGAACCTGAAAATTCACTGAACGTTTCAGATTTACTCTCTGGCATTTCTATAAAAATTGCCGGACAACGGTTCCCCTTGATTACGTGAACTGTTCCGTGTTTTTACTGAATATTTCTCTCCGTGTATATTACGCTTGACCACCGTTTTCGGCCCTTATATGGCCCTCACGGCCTGACACCCACTTTTTTTACCTTTATATGCTGACCCTCACCTTCATTTTTACTTACTTCATATTAAAAGTATATTTTATTCTTAAATCAGAATTATGGATATACTTCACTTCCAGTAAAATAAACTCAGTTCAACTGTATTCTTCCATGCTTATTCGTATTACCTCGAAACCCTTCTCACACTGGAAACAGTTGTAAAGATTTAACAATTGTGAAATCACCTATTCGGTGTTTTCAAATTGGTTGGAATAAATTTCCCACTAAGTCCCTCGGCCATTTCTCTGGGGCTTGAATCGAATGAAAAAAGTTCACGGAGACTCGTGCCGTCGTGAATGAGATTGAAACGTGCTACTTTGCGTGTCATTGGCAGAAGGATTCATGCACATACGTTCACACATGTAAAATCTTTTTTCTTCTCTACCTATTTTTTCTTCTCCCTTCTCTTCCCTTGCTGCATGGGTGACGATTTAAATTTCAATGGCAGCATGCCACACGGTAGTTTCAGGGGGCCCACGACAACATACCGTATATTCCCATATACTTTTAGGGGGATAAAAGATGAGAGGGGAAATTGGGATGAAGGGAGAGTGCATTTATATCGGATGGGGAGTTAGCGCGTGAGATCTGTATTAGTACCTATAGATTCTTGAGCTTTCAGGGATGCTCATTTTCACGTACACATCAGAGTTCCACTGACTTCAAATAGTTGATTAAATATTCACCAATGGAGCGGAGAAATTCATTAAATTTTATTCATCTTCAGATTTTTTTTCCTATCTTCATCAGAGCGGCCGCGATGTAATTTCATTCAGACTTGCGCCTGTTTTTTTTATTCAAGGATGAGATTTTTTACATCTCGTCAAAATGATTTTTTTCCGAGCAGACGTCAAAGGCTGGACTATGAGAAAGAGTGGTGAAAAAAAGGAAGTAAATTGTTGAAAAGAATATGAGAGATGAGAACCCCATTGACACCCCGTATAGCAGTCTCGCAGCGTTGACGAGTAGACAACGGAGCCAAGCAAGCGTGAAGGGTCGCCGCACAGGAGAACCCAAGCCCCAAACTGATCTCCCTCCCTTTTTCTTCATCAACTCTCTCCGTCTATCTGTGTGTGTTCGTACCACCCCATTCGCTCTCACTCGGCCACCCGGCGCTAACTAATGTTTGCCCAAAGAATCGCTGCTACGTATAATCGAGTTAGGCGAGTGCGAATGCACACAGACACATATAGAGGAAGAGTCGGGAGGTGGATGGTACAAAAAAAAATTAGCTCGAACGCACTGACCGACAAACTGGTAAATCGTTTCTCTCCTGGTGTTACAAAACGAGTCGAGGGTTTGTTTGGTTTTGTCTTTGTCATTCGCGGCAAATTGGCGAGTGAATAAATAAATGGAGAAGTGAAGTTTTGGGGGATTGAGGGGAAATGCTGGAATTCCATACACTGTTAAACAATCGAACTGAATTTTTCAGAAAATGACACTGAATTCAATTTAACGGAGAAAATTCTATGAAACTTCAAATTCCCCTGAAAATTCAAGGAAATCCCTGATTTTTCAGTGGCAGAACCATGAAGATCCCGAAATTTCCAGGAATTTTCAATGTAAACATGAGGGCACTTTCAAAAATAATAAAATACAATAACACGTATTTGAAAAAATTCTTTTGCTTATTTTTCCACAAAATATTTCCTTGAAATGATTAAAATTATCATGATCATTTTCATACAATTTTCTTTCTGGAAATTAGAAAACAAAATCAGATTCTCAAAAAATGCACATTAGAAGCTACTGTTTCTTAACTTTAAAAAGGTATTCCTTGAAAGAGCTGCATTTTCCTCGTAATTAATTAGATAAAAAAATTGAAAAAAATGGTTTTTTCTAGTTTTTTCAATCTACCGAAATTGGCTCATTCTCCGCTAATTTTTCATAAACCATCAGTGCATGGAAAAAATATAAATGATTTTTACTGTGCGAACCCAGTAACCGAGTTCACATTGAAATGTTCAATTTTCCATTCTCCCGCGTAAAAAACCTGAAAATTAGTTCAAAGTAAATTTCCGGAAGACTTTTAAAAAAGCGCTAATGAACACGAAATTCACAGGTGTCCGCATGGATCCATTGACGTCGACACTGACAGTCACCCCTGCAGTCGTCTCCATCAAAGTTCGTCAGCGACTCGCAAAGGGGTTAGACAATCGTCGACCGACAAACTGGTATTGGCGAACCAACAAACTGCCATTCGACCTCTTGTAGCCCAGCACTGTTGTCCAAGCCACTGGAGTGGGGG